GTCATCGTTGTTTCGAAGGGTTTCATATCTTGGTCTTAAAAGAAGGTATGTTGATGGAGACCAACTTAAATTTGTAGTAAAAATGTTAATGTGTCTTCCTTATCTTCCAGAAGATAGAATTACTTCCGCATTTGATGAAATTGTAAAAGACAACAACGATGAAGATATAAACAAAGTGTTGATTTATTTCAAAAACAATTATTTAATCGGGGCTTTTAAGAAACGGTTTTGGTGTGTCTATGGATTAACAGAAAGGACATCAAATCGTGCAGAAAGCTTTCATTTTTGCTTTGAACAGATTAAGTGGGTTAACACATCCAAATGTTCACGTTTTTATAGAAAAACTCAAAAAATATCTAAAAATATTGGACGTCAAATTTTTTCAATACAACACACAGTTAATTAAACAACGACAAAACAAAAAAACCACTGAGAAAAATATGTCAATTAACGAAAAACAAAAAGAGTTAATTAGTGAAATTCCTTTGACATCGAAACAATTTTTAATAGATTGTATAATCATTTTAAATAGAAAGGAAAATAGAACCGTTTTTGAATCTGATGCCGAGTCAAGTGCGCTTGGGGTCGATAATGAAAATAAAATTATCAAAATATTAGAACAAGAAGATAATTGTACAAATATTGGTGAAACACAAGAAAAAACAAATCAGAATTACAACCAACTGAACAACATATAGATACAGAGTTTGTTAAATTTACATTATAACAAAATGAAAATTAAATTAATAATTTAATTTTAACACAGAGAAGATAATTTATTTGACACAATTGTAAATGACAAAGAAATTCAAATTGAGAAACGAAGTTGGCAATCAACCGAGTGTTTTCTAGAAGATGTCGAATTATCAATGCAAAATAACAATTATAAAGCACCTAAATTAAGAAGAAGAAAAAGTATTGCAAAAGAAACTAAAAAATTGATGAAAACAATGTTGGCTCAGAGAAATAATAAAAAGAAAAGAAACAAACTTAACTAAATCATTTATTTAATTAACAAATCTATATCAGTATTTAATTATTTTTTATTATAACATAATATTTTATTAATTCATTAATATTGATATTATTATAATAATATTTAATCATATTTAATTAACGATAAAAACGAAATATAATTGATGTTTAATGTCATTTAATATAAAAATGTTTTTTATCATAATATTATATAATATAAAACATGAACAAAATAATCATTTGTTGTTTTTTGAATAAATAATCTTAAAAGCATCACATGTATATATTTATAATAAATAATTATTATATTTTATTAATATAAAATATAGTAAATATAAATATTTTATTTATTGTATACAAAAATTTATTGTTGAAATTTTGTTGAACTTGTGTTGAACTTTTGTGAAATTACAGGGGTGAATTCTCAAAGGGCGAGTTTGTAAAGGGGCGAGTTTTCCTTTTCCCCTTTAAATTTGCTGTTGAATTTATTACAAATACATTAAATTCTCATATTTGGCTTGATATAAGGAACCTTCTGATGTCAATTTCATTTATCATAAGACTATAAATAAGACAATTTCACTTAAATCATTTGACCGTTTAAGTTGAAAAATAAGAAATAAAAGAATAAAAATACTGACAGTAAAAGTAAAAAAAATGTTGTGTTACTATTTTTAATACATTTTTCTGTTGTTTTTATATATTTTTATTATTATTAGTTTTTTATCAACTTAATTTAAGAAATAAAATGGTATTACTAAATGTGATTAAATATAGTTTCAAGCTCATATTTAACGTTTTCTAAAGAACTTCTTTTTGTAGGTTCATTATCCCAACAACCATTAATAATATCATATATGTTTTGATTCATCTCATCTGGCTTTGGTAATCGTGACCCTTTAATCACAAACTCTGCAATTGACCAAGGAAATTTGAATTTATCTTTAGAATACGCATAACTCCATGAAATACACTCGAACATGGTTATAGCCAAAGAGTATACGTCAGCACTCTTTTTATATTTTTCTCGTTTTAACACTTCGGGCGCCATGTAGACTGGTGTACCAATTCCCTTTGTGAATGTCATGTTAGTCATCATCATATTGACATTTCTTGCACTTCCAAAATCAGTCAGTTTAGCATTTACACTGTTGTTTAAATCAATTGAAACAACCAGTATGTTGTCTGGCTTGATGTCTCTGTGTAATATCCCATTTGTGTGTAAATAAATTATTCCACTTATTGAATCCAACATCAATTTTATTCGAAGTTTCATTTCAATTTCTATGCTAATTTTATGTTTCATTAAATCTTGTAATGAACCAAACAAAGCAAATTCGGTGACCATACACATTTTATTTGGTATAAACACGGCTCCATAGAAATGGATGATATACTCACACCTAAATTTATCTAACATTGCAACTTCTTTTTCAAATTCATCATCTGATTTATCTCCACTATCAGTTTTGCCGTCTTCGGTCTGTTTCATTTTCTTGATGGCCACCTCATTTCCTCGGTATTTTCCTTTGTAAACAACACCAAAAGATCCTTCACCCAATTTTGATTCTTCAAGCAACTCGTCATAATCTATTCTTGTAGATTGACTCGTTACTCCTTTCATTATGATTTCATTTATATTTTCAACGTTTGTTTTGAGATTTTTTGAGACTATGCAAATCGTGTTATTTATTCGACACGTGCATTTGGGTTTCAAATATATTGAAAATTCACATGCAAACTTCTTTTTTAACATGACGACTTCTGGTGTTGCTCTTATCGTAAATTTGTCGATTTGTGTTGTCATGGTGAATTGAATTTTCAAGACGCCTTTGGACATATTGCCAACACAAAACACAATTTTTGTTTCTGCGTTGACAGGAATTTCTTCTACTTCAGAATTGAAATTGAGTTCTTTTGAAGAGACGCAAATGTTGTTTGCAAGTGAAATGAATTTGACATTTGATTTTTCCATTTCGAATATAGTTGTTGTTTTTTCTAACTCCTTTGTGTGAATCATTTTCAAAACATTCTTCACAGAAAAAACCAATACTATTATAAGAAACGTTAGTACAAATAAAATAAATAGAACTATAACAAGTATGACCCACCATACAGCACGCTTTTCACAATAAGTTCCATCTAAACTTGGTGCATTCCAGAATGAACATCTGTTGCATTTTGAATTGATTATTTCTTTACACTTTGTTATCTGAGAAAGTGTCACACATATTCCACTTGAAAGTAAGACCTTCGATGATAAGCATGATTCGCAACTTCTTTGGGACGAACATGTTAGACACGTTGTTTCACACTTTTCACATTCATTTGTATTGACTTGAAAATACCCTTCTTTACATCGCGTGCATCCATATTGTGTGACATTCACATCACATCCTATTAAACTACTTTGTGATTTACAGTCTCCACTCCATGTTTTGTAATTCGTTGAATTACAAGTCAAACATGTAAAATTTGTATTACACAATGAACATGAAAGATCACATTTATAACAGTCCAACCCATTTCTGTAATAACCTTCAGCGCATTTTGCACATCCACCAGATGATATAAATTGTGTGCAAATTCCCACCAATTCAGAATTTGTTTTGCAAATATTATTTGAAATGTAAAATCCTGGTGGACATGAAAGACAATAAGTCGGAGTTATGACACAAGTCAAACAATTTGAATCGCATCTTTCACATCTGTTGGATGATGAATTAAAATAATAAGCGTCTTTACATCGCAAACAAGAAACCAAACTCTGGTTTGTGCATTGTATATCGTCATTTGTAAGACATTTAGTATTGTTTAAAATTAAACTATTATTACACGCTAAACACTTTGAATTTGTGATGAAAGTGCAGTTGTCATAAAATTTAGAACATCTTCCGTTTTCATCATTTGGTTCAGAACAGTTATTGTGTTCGCATTGTCCAGATTTATTCATTTCAAATTCAATTTCACATTTCGTGGGACGACCATTTTCACACACTTCACTTGATTTGTAGAGATCCGAGCACTTTTGACAATTGTTGGAATTTGTTTTATACCCACTTTTACAAGCAATTATATTATTTTGATTTGTGTATAACAAGTGTTCATCGGCAATTTCACATTTAATGTTGTTAAAATTAAACGTTTTTAAACTGCAAATTTGACATGTACCATTTAAATTTTGAATCAAACAAGATGATGTATTTTGACAGTAACCTTCAGAAAGTAAATACCCATTTGAACATTTTAGACATCGATTTGATCGTTTCAACAAACAGTTCGGTATTTCAATGCATTTACTGTCATTGGTAATATAATATTCCTGTTGACATCTTAAACATTTTTTTGAATTGTAAGAACAGTCAATACAATTTGAATCCAAACAATTATCACATTGTTGTGTTGTTGTGTTGAAATAATTTCCATTTTTACACATTGGATTTATAATAAATTTGGTACCATTTTCACTTGAGTAAATTGCTTTTGAAACAACATTTTGAAATACAAAACTTTGATTTGAAACCATAAGAACAGTTTTTGTTAGAGATGAAATGTTTGTGATTAACTTATCAATTTGTGAATTTACACCAAGAGTAAAGTTGTCTGTCTTAAAAAAGGAGACTTTTTTGTTTCCAATGGCAACACTTTCAATGTCAAGTTCCTCTTCGACTTCGTCGTATTTTTGATGTGTATTTATTGATGTATCAACGATTAAATTAAAAATGGTCATATTTTTGAGTGGTGTGATATAACAATTAATAGAATCACAAGGACAGTATGGCTCACTGTAATCACCATTTATGGTTTTCAAATGGCAAAACACTTTGTTTGAAGTTCCTATTCTTAACAAACGATTACCCATGAGCAGTTTTGTGTTTTGTGGCAATGTTGTTTGAATTGGATTTACAGAAAATGCTAAATCGACTTCTGACAAACTTTGAAAGGAAAATTTGGTTGAATTAATTTGATAAGTAAAAAAGATTGGCAAATCTCTGATTGTTCTATCAGCTGTTTTTATATTACACGAATCCAACATCAAATTATCTTGAATTGTAATAAATGAAGTGTCTGTTACTTCAAATGTACCATTGTTTCGACATATAAAGTTGGTACTGTTAACACCGTTTCTACTGCCATTTATATTTAACACAAAAGTTCCGTTTGTGATTTCAAAATTGGAGGAATTTAAAAAGGAACTGTTGTTCATTTCAAATTTGTTATTTTTATTGTTGATTTGAATTAGTGTGACATTTCTTATTATTGAATTGTTGTACATAACAAACAACGCACTGCCACTTATTTTAATATAGTTTTGAACTTGAGTTATTTCGCTTGAAATCATAACAAAAGTTGAATAATCTTTAATGATAATATTGGATACAAAATCAAATTTTGATTCAAAAAACATTTGAAAATTGCTATTTCTATTTAATTCAAAGTTTTGTGTGGTATTAACAAGAGAATTTTCTAAAAATATAATTTTGGAATTTCCAGTCAATATCAAATTATTCAATTTTAATACAGATGAATAACTGTACATAGTAAAAACTGTGTTCCCATTAAAATCAAAACGATCCACTTCTTCAATTGTTGAGTTGTTTAACATATTAAATACAGAATTGTAACTTAATTCCAGATTATCTAAACTTTTTATTTTTGAAAAAACACCCATTTGAAAAAAGCCATTTTGATTAAATTGTAATTCGTGTATTCTATCAATTGTAGCATAGGGGTTTATAAACAAAGAAGAATTTTGAAATGAAGTTAAATAAAAGATGTCATGAATTGAATCAAGTATTACACTTCCATTATTATTTAATTCAATATCTCCTAAATTAAATAATTCAGTGTTTTGTTCCATTTCAAAAATAGCATTGTCAAAAATTCTAAATCTTAAACGATTATAATCTCGGAAAGATGTTTTTATTTTAAACGTTGAATTGTTGTATAGATAAATGGTATTAATATCGAATCGGGGAATATAATGAGCAAAAACGGTAAAGATTGATTTATTGTATTGAATGACATTATTAGCTTTAAAATCAACATTATCAAACAAATTGAATTGCGACTGGTCTTTTAAAATTATATCCATTGTTGTAGTAAGAGTTGAATCATATTCCATTTCAAAAATTGAATTGTGTTCACATATTAACTCACCAACAATATTAAGTACCGAAGTATAAACCATGGTGAATATAGTTTGTGTTTGTGAATCACTTGTTATTTTTAATGTATCATTGAGGTTACATGTTTCTGATAGCGTCATGGTATTTTTTACTTCTATTGTCGGACATATGGCTCTTGCAGTTTTTGTTAATGAATTAAAATAACAAAATAATAAAGCGAACTTCATTAATATACCTTGTTGCATTTTATGTTTAGATTATATGTTTTTTTCAACAAATAGTGTCATGTTTTAAAAATAATCCATACAAATCCAAATAATGTTTTTTTAAAAACAATGCTATCTTTCAAAATATAAATAACACAAAATTTTTAATTTATTATAGTTTTATTTGATTTAAAATTTAAATATTTAAATATAAAATTCATTTGGCCCAAACAGCCTTTTGCTGATTGTTTTTCAAAAATAACCATTATTGATAATATTTTAAACTGTTTTGGATAATATTGTATATGACCAACTGTGACTGTAGAAGGTAAAATCTCAAAATTATATGTAAAATAATATATTAATTTGAAGTTAAAAATGGTTTAATATATTATTAATAATAATTTAATATATAAAAAAACTGTAATATAATTTATTAGAGTCAGTCTTTTAATTTTGTCCTTTCTCCAAACAGTAAAAAAACTGAAATATTGTTTTTCTCACGTTTCAAAAAATTTAAACATTCCAATTATTTATATTTAAAAACGAAAGACAACAGCTGAAAAAGGACAACGTTAAAAGACAGACTTTATTGAATGTATTTCAATTGTAATGTTTCAATATTATTTTTGTAATTGTATTTAATCATGATTAGACATTTCAGTCTTTTTGAAAAAGGTATTTTCCCAAAAATGTTTTTTTAAACAAAACACCGACAATTGACTTAAACTTTTGTAGGGATCTAATTATATGATCAAATTGAATTTTATTAAATTAAGTTTATAATTGTCATTTAAACGTTTTTTCAATATATTCGTGGTTTATCAAATTGGTTATAATGTTTAACAAATCATTATATTTTTAAAACATGAAAATTTCTATTTTTATCCAAAATTATCGATTAATTATAATATTGATTTACAAACATCTTTATTTTAATAAAATTAAAATATTTATTATTTTTGTCAATTACCAATTCACAAATTAAACAAAACAAATGATAAGTCAATTATATAATTAATGATTTCGAAATCATTGCAAAATAGGCCTATTTTGATATATTATAATAATTCAATAATTATTTTTTGTTATAAGTTTGTATGTTTTGTGTTTTATTATTAAAACACATAAACATTTATTATTGAATTTATTTGGAAACATATTTAAATAAAAACATTTTTGGATTTAATTTAAATTGAATATACATAGACTCAATGTCTGAAATAATAGTTATTAACAGTGTATTTATTTTTTTAAAATGTGTTTAATAATTAATTGTAAATAAAGACTATTCAAACTATCGAGAAAATGTCAATTAAAACATTAAAAAAACTAATGATGAAATAACAATGCTTCCAACACCATTTGTACACTTCTCGCTATTTTCGTCTTTACATGGATTTTCATAGTGTTCTTTGCATTAATCTAAAATAACATTTCCATCGTAATACCCATTAGTACATTTAAAAACACAAACATCTTTAACTGTGTCAACTAACAACTTTTCTTCACATTTTATACGTTTCTTTGATTCAAATTTGACATTTTTGATGAGTTGAGAGACATTCAGTTATATCCAAGTCACAATAATCATTATTTCCATCCGATGTAGCTTTCATTTCTTCACAGTTTTTACACATTGGGTTTGGTTTTGTAACATCAATAAATTGCGTTATTGAGCAGTTCAATGATGTCACTACATTATCTCCAAATTTATCTGCTTTGAAATTTTCAGTCACAAAAACTCTTAAAGCCACCTTTTATAGAAGATCACTTAGGAATGTTTTTGGCACCTCATTTCCATGGAAATACAAGTTACTTTGTGACACTAAAGGGTCTAATAAAGTCTCCAATTTTCCATATAAATTAAGCGACTGTAATTTATTGGTTTGTTTAAAAGCGTCTTTTCCAATCAATTTGACATTTTCAGTACCCGACACCAAATTTCAACTTTGTCGATATTTTTAATATTGTTTATTGATGAACACTCTTTGAATGTGAAATCTGCAATTGCTAATTGTACATTGAGATCGACATCTTTGAGTTCATTTGCATTTTCAAATACATTTGTTCCAAACTCGAGAATTTGAGTTGATGGGAAAGTCACTACAGTCGACTTGGTATATTTGAAAGCTCCATTTCCCAATTTGGTTATTGAATTGCCAAAAGTTATTGTTGGAATTCTTATTTGTTCAAAAGAAGCAATCCCAAATTCTTTAACACGTTCAAAACAGAAACGTAATAATAATAAGTTTTTATTTTTTTCTTTTACCTAAACCCTTTTTTTGCCTTCATACACAAAACAAATTTTTGAAATTTTTTATTTATTTTTTTATCAACTTAAATTTGAATTGTATATTTTATAGTCACACAAATAAACATGAATGAGTTTGTTTGTGTAAAACAAAAGCAAAGCTTAAAAAAGAAAAATGGGGTCTAATGATGGTTTGATATATTTGGTTGTTTTTTTATAAAGAGAATATTGTCATTTGATTATAACAATATTGGTGTTTTAAAGTCGTTATATTTATTAGTGTGACTATTTGACATTGTATGTCATTAAGTGGATTGATGATGTTGCGTTTTTTGTTTTAATGTTGTAACACGATAAAGCGATATGAAATTTCGTCCAAAAAGATTATTTTTGATCAATCTTAAGTAATTGAGTTCTCATTTGTTAATTATTTTAAGTAAAATAAAACTGACTATTGGCCGGTTTGGATTAAAAAGGGGTTTTGGAATAAAAAATAATAAAAAATGATTTGGACAATTTCCTTTTTACTTATTTTTCTTCTTAAAAAAAAGTTTTGGGTTGTGAAAGTGTTAAATTAATCAAAACTCATCACCACTTCAAGTGAAGTACAATTTTTGAATGTTGATTCTGGTATTAATATATATAACCACAAGCTTACTGTATGAAAAAATGGCATTTAAAAACTCCTTTTCCGAAATCGGTAATAGTCGAAGAAGGTAAAGTGACCATAGTTGAAGTAATTTTTTTAAATGCACCTTTTTTGATTTGAGTCACATCATCACCAAAAAGTATCAAAGATATTTTTGTTCTTTCAAATAAAAAATTGTCCAAAAGAAGTGATAACACTAAATCACTGAAGTGTTCGAGTGAAGTGCATCATTTGAAAGTATTATCTGGAATTTTTGTTGTTCTTTTTATAGTAACAGTTATCAGCAAAACCATATTTTAGAATGCTCCGGTTTCAAATCTATCTATTTGTACATTTTCAAAAGTGATTTTCTCAAGTTTCGTTTGAACAAATGCATTTTCAGTTTATTTGGTCACTGCATTTTCGAATGTAAATTCTTTCAAATTAACATGTCAAAACAACTCAAAACTAGAAAATGTTATCTTATTAAAACTATTGATTGTTTCCAATTTTGTGTCATTATAGAATGTTCTATTTGTGATATTTATTTCGATTGGAACAGTTACTTCTGTTAATGATATACATGTTTTAAACGCGCCGATTCCAAAAGACTCAATTTGATCTTGCAAAGTTACTAAAGACAATGGAATCAATGAAAATGCGTTATAACCAAATTCAGACACACTTGAACCAAAAGTGACAAAAAATATTTACGAAATGTAAAAGCTTTTTCTTTGAAGTGAGTCCCTTTTTCTATATTAGTTGATGTTGTGAGCTCAACACATCCACTGAATGTGTATTTTGGTACTATAGTAACCCCTTTAAAATCTGCGGTTATTAAATTTGCACAGTTACTAAAAAATTAGTACCAACCCCACCAGATGGATTACTCGTTGAAAAACTGAAACTTAGTCGAGTGTTTTTAAACACATAATTACAGATATTTTTAACATTATTTTCAAAAGATAAAATATTCAAATCACTATTAAAAAACAAAATTGTTGAAATATTAAACATTCTTTATCAAGTGTTTGTTTTAAGTAAAGTCCATTCTTTAAAAAATACTCGCTTAAATAACAAGAACATAACTTTAATTTCTTTTTGTCAAAAAATGCATTCTTTAAATGCTGATATTTTTGAATCTTCAATTTTTATAATTGTAGTAATAAAAATTAATTTTATAGCACCTTTAAATGCAAAAGCTTTAATAGTCAATATATTAGTATTTTTTTTAAAAAAATACTGGTTATTTGATGTATGTTTTTAAACCAACTTTTGTATTAATAATTTTAAGCTGTAGATTCAATAGTCACCTTGTTTAACAATGAGTTGTCCCACATTTAACAAAGTTGTTAATTGTGTTGATTTGATAGTATATTTTTGGCCTTTATAAAACCCAGAATAAAAGCAAATACAATTAAATAAAATATTAAATAAATGATTAATATTGATTTATTCTTTTTAAATATAACGAATTATTATTGTCAATAAAATAACTTACAAATTGGTACTTAAGAAAAATATTAAAAATATAGATAATTCTTTGGGCTAAAATACATTTTCTGCATTAAAGTTCATTTTTCCAACTGTAATTTAAAATATAAATTCCCTTTATAACCTAAAAATAAAAAAAATCATCCTAAAAGTACTACAGTATGGACACTCTCCCCAAGGTTGACCATTTCCCTGTTAGATTTTTGGTAGATTCCCAAAATTGCATTATAATTTTAAATTTTAAACAATTATTGATAATAATATGTATTTTTTGTATTCATAGAATGATATAAATTGTATTGAAAAGAACCCAATTAATGGTAAGAAAATCTTATGTTATGTTATATTTCAATATCATAATTTAACATATATAAACAATGGTAAAAAAAATTATATGCTAAATATGTCAAAAAAAATAAAAATATTTTTTTTGAAATAATAGACATAATATAGTTATCCTGTCACCGAGAGCCGGGAACTATTCAAAAAACAATTTTATTAGGCCCAACAACCCCAAATCCTAGAAGATGGGCTTGATCTCTAATGAGAAATTAAAATGATCAGAACATATACAGGTCAATACTAAACTCCAATAGTTTTCTAAAACTATTTTAAGTCTTCAAGTGATTGGTTAAAACTTAAAAAAATGTTTTTATTTAGAAACAATTTTTGGATAACGATTGTAGGCCAACTCTATAAACATGTTCTTTAAATTTGTTTTTTTGTCACTTCTTACGGTTTCACATGAGACGAGACTTGTTATGATAATGTCTTGAACAGTTATAAACAAATGTATTTTATATATTTTTATTTTTTGTTTTTGTTTTTGTTATACAACACTTCTTGTTGTCCGATTTTATATCGTACTTATTCGGGATAACCTCGTAATAAATTTACTTTGAAGTTTGAGATATTTAATATAATTTGATGAATTTTATCATGCCTGTGTACTTTTTGTATAAAGTGAGGGGAGATATTCACTTTTTTTGAATTTATATTTACAATATATTTTTTAACCATAGTTGTAAAATGCCGAAACCAATAAATGACTAATCGATAATGGATAAATAACATAAAATCACTTATTTTGAATTATTGAAATTAAAATATGTTTATATTAATGAAACTAATTTAATGAATTTATTTGTTTGTTGGTTGGTTTGTGTATTTGATTATTTAAAGAGTAAGTTGTATGTTTCTGATTTATTTAATAAATTATTGTTAAATTGGTGATTGTCACTCAGAACAACATTTCATAATTTTGTTGTTAACATTTTTAAATTATTAACATGTGTTGCATTAAATTTTTAGACTACTAAAAAAACAGTTTTAATATCTTATGTGCATGTACACGTGAGTCTTTAGTCATAACCCATTTTTATTAAATTATTATATTCTTTTAATTTTGGTGTTATCATTCAAAATTAATTTTGATGTTACATGTTTACATAATCATAAGTTAACACATTTTATATTTTTGCTATTTTATAAAACAAAAGTGTAGCAATTAACAGTGAAACCTTATAAACCAATTATTTTTATTAAATTATTGAAAATGATATTTAATAGGAGTATCCATTTAAATTAATCATAATAGTTGTGGTGTTATTGAAATATACATGTTTAAAATTATGTGTTGTAATTAAAAAAACAATAAAAAATAGTTATAAAAAATGATTGTAAATAATATCTCGTTCATATGTAAATATCAACAGATATTGGTCGTATGACAATTGTGGATATCAATGTAGTTACAAAATAAAATTAAAAAATTGTTTATATTTATTTTTTTTGTTTCAACAAAACGTCAAATAAATTACACAAAGTTACAATTAACATTTGAAAATAACAATGTTAATAACAGTCATTATTCTACTAAAAATTAAATTCGACAATATTTAACAATATTATATACTGTTATTAATTATTAATTTTGATGTGCTGACTTTTTTACCGTGTTTAGTGTTGTTTTTGTATGTTAAGTTATTTTAGTATTTTAAATACTTATAATTATTATAATGTATGGTTATTTTTCTCATTGTGAAATAGTTTTCAAATAATTGAAAATAATTAAAAGAAATAGTAAATGATATTGAGTAATTATTTGGCAAATTTTCATGTTTGTAATATTTTGCAAACGTATAAAAGTACTTTTTCAAAATAAATTTAATTTTTACTATTTTAATAGTATTTTAAATTTGATTTAAATAATATAGTTTTGTTTAGTAATGACAATAATTCTCACACGTCATTGAGGTATGTCAACCGAGTCTATAAAAGACGGTCCAAACAACTAAATACATAAAATGCAAATCTTTGTGAAGACCCTCACAGGTAAGACAATCACATTGGAAGTAGAGCCAAACGATTCAATTGATGCTATTAAAGCAAAAATACAAGAAAAGGAAGGCATTCCACCAGACCAACAAAGACTCATTTTTGCTGGTAAACAACTTGAAGAGGGAAAAACCCTTTCTGACTACAACATTCAAAAGGAGTCAACACTCCACCTCGTCTTGAGATTGAGAGGTGGATATTAAGCATTTCGTCTCTTTGTATTCGTCTTGTTTTGTAATTCATTTTACTTGCTAACTTACTGTTGAACATTTCACAACAATATGTTGTGAGTTGGATAGAATTGATAATCTTTATTTTAATATAAAAATATTAAATACAGACAAAAAATGCATTTGCCGGGACTCGAACCCGGATCTCCACCTTG